CCACATCACCCTGCCTGCCCCGGATACTGCCCAGCCTCGGACAGCTGGCTGAACCCATTTCCAGCCCGAGAGCCAAGCCCAGAGAGCCCACCCTGGAGCACAGCTGTGGGCACACTGACCCAGCACTGCTTCAAACTTGAGTCTTCAGGCTGGGGCCACTTGCTTTTGAAACCCAGGCTGAGTAACCAATTTGATAGTGGCAACACCGTCTGCTTCTCATATCACAGTCTAGTAATTAGCATGCTCTTGAAAAGAAGCATGAGATATGCATTCAGCAGTTCAAACCCTTGTCTCTCACCTCCTCAAGAAATGCCTTAACCACAGGGTTTTGGATAGGGGGACTCCCCTCTAAACAAAAATTCAAGCTTTGATCCTAAGAGGGTTGAATCCTCAGCCTAGCGATCAGGACACATGGCTGAAAGAGAAAAATCCTTTATCTGAGAACTTTTTATATGTTTTAGGCAGTAACTGGGGGTGGATAATATGAATTTGGATCTTGTCAGGAAGAGTCTGAGTGTGACCTCCCACCTCCTACCAGAATACAAAATATGCAAAAGAGGATCCATTTTAAATGGAGAGCAAGACATACACTCCTTTCTGGAACAGCACTACCTCCGTGCTGGAACACACTTGCTTTCTGCAGTAGTAGGTAAAGACATTCCTACTCAGGAGGTGGCTGGTGCTTCAGAAACACCCACATCCTCAGGACACTTCTATTTCCTGGCTCTAGAGGTTCCCCTTCAGTGTCTGGAGATTCCTGCTGTCTTTGGTGAGCCTCAGGCTTATCTATCCCAAGGAAGTTCAAAGACAACACAACTGGTGTGGTAAAGACAGGGCACAGTTAGGTTGAATAATTTGTTACCTAAAAATGCTTCTGACAGATGGCAAGGCTGTTCTGGAACACTGTGAACATAACAGATTTTGGGACAGGGTGCTGAAGAGAACTGATTTTAGTGAAAAGTTGGATTTTTATCAAAATGACCTTTTCCACTCCAAGTGCCTGCTTTGCATAGAAAATTGCAAAGAAAACTCCAAAATTTGATAAGAAATTCAACATCCCCGTGACTTAACTGGAGTTCTGGTTTGGATGTCATTATCCTTCATGGCCATTGGCTGCAACTGGGCTCCATGTCCAATATGCATCATTGCCAAATGTTTCCATGATGTATCACAACAGCACAAGAAAACAGAAAACCATCATTCCCATTAAAAAAGCTCAGAGTTTAAGGAAGAGAATGGAACCATTTGCCACAAACACTTGCAAATTCCTTAATCTGACATGGAAACCAGTTGCTTCTACCTTGCTTCTCCCCACACCTACAAAAAACCTGCAATATTCACAATCCATTCTAATTACCAAGGCATTTGCAGGCTGTACTCCTAAATTAATGAGGCTTAGCTGTTGGCACTATTCTCCTTTTACCTGTCCAATGGTCAGTTCTGTGTCCCTTCCCTTCCTGTCTCCCCAACGCCTTCAGAAACTACCCGACAGACAGGGAAGGGGGAAGGAGCTGTGAATGCTGGGTGGGAAGAGTAGATATAAAAATCCTTAGTTCTGTTTTGATACTTTGCAACCACAGCACAGATCTACACAGCAGATCAGCAAGTCTCTGAGGTTTGAGAGGAAACACTGCCAAAAGATGGTATTTCTTTCCCCTTAAAAAAAAAAAAAAAAAAAAAAAAAAAGTTGAAACAGTTTATTACTAGGTGTGGTATCGCATCTAAAGCTTTCAGTTTCAGTACTTGTGTGACGTATATGCCAAGTGGAGAGGGATCTTACTAAAACCTTCCAGGATGAAAACCCTCACACTAGCCAGTCTAGACATTCTCCAGTAAATACAAAAGTGGGATTAGATGGTGCTGCTATTCTCACCCCAAATAAAACCTAATATAAATTAAATAATAAAAATTAGTTTAAAGAAAAAAGCACAACCAAATCAGGTGTGCTTTGGTTTGCTGTTAGCTAAAACAAAGCTTAGTTTGAGATGGTAAAATGCTACAATATAGCTTAATGAGGTAAATCCATTAAAATACCAATACTTTCTAAAGCATGTGTTGAAGTATATTTTTGTCTTATGATGATGAAAACTTTTTTAAGAAAGGACCTGATTTTCTAAATTAGTGTGGAAACCAACCCATTGTCTTCTATTTGGTACTTAGTATCCTACATATCAAGCTATTAAATTCAGAGCTTACTGAATTTTTAGTGTCTGCTTAATCTCTTGGCTTACTTTAGACTCCTCTTCTAAAATGTTTCATTTAAGTGAGATGAAAATCGTTGATTTCTGATACTTTTCTACATATCTAGGAAACAGAAGTGTGAAGCATGAGGAGAAACTTGATTTAAATTATACACATCTGTCTCTCCAAGAAAAGGTTTTCTATTTGTGTTGGAATGAGCTTATTTCCAATACCTGGTAATTCTCCTGCTGTCTACATACATATTCCACAGAAGAGGTAAAGGTTACTGGTGTATAGCATTACTTCTATACGATGCTGTGTGTTTTCATCTAGGCACTCCCACAATGATTTCCATATCTAGCCACTTGCTCTTCTTATTTCTTGATAAGTGATGGCCCTATCAGGAAGACGGGGGCGAGCCTGTTACTGCTTTGAGTAAACAGCCTAAAGGTCATTTTAGATGTTGGCTTTGACACTCTTGGTTCAGTAGACACCCACCATAGCTGTCACCAGTATGCTGAAGTTACCTTCATGGAAAAACAGCCTTTCAGTGGGTCCTGTTTTCTCTTCAAAACAAGAGACCACCAGTGGGCATTTAAGGATGAAATGAGGAAAATTCTATCAAATTCCCCTAAAAGATACCTGACAGAGCCATTTGGTCTGAGGTCAGGATCCAAGTGCTAGAGGTCTTGCTGAGGTCTCCTAAGGTTAGGGGAAGGTCCTCATCTGAATGGGGTCTCTGAGTCCCTGTGTGCCCCAATGGGTGCCACAGTCCTAGCCAGTGCTCAAGGACCTTTTAAAGGAGGTTTCCCCAAGAAGTGACAGCAGCAGAAGATATCCCAGGCACCTGGGCACAGGTGACTTTAGCAGGTGTGGCTACGTACACTAGAATGAGAGTGGTAAAACCAGTGGCTCACGTGGCACCCCCACTTGGGGTGTCCACCTGCATAGCTGTCACACACCCCACTGCCCTCCAACCCAGGCTTCTGCAAGTACCATTTCTCTCCTGCTGCACAAGATTGAGCAGTAGAACAGTAGAAGGCACAGCTTTGCTGAAATAGATGCATCCACTGCCAGAGCGTGTTGGCAGCACACAGCACCACTGTGCCTCCATCAGTAAAAGGTCGTTCCAACACTATACTCCTGGCCACCTTCTCCCACACACTCTTCAGCATGAAAGCAGGAAGAACCCAGCAGACAGATCTAAAGATACCAACATCCTGCAAAAGAAGAGTTGCATGACTAAAGCTAAGATCCAGAGCAAAGGCCAAAGCACCCACAGGGTTGATACAGCAATATGCCTTGTATTGACAACTCTACAGGCTGAGCAACACATATTCCACAAGGGATACCACCACCCAAGGCAGAATTCAAAGTTCACTGCAGAATAACTCCTGAAGTCCTTTCAGGAAGCTTCTCACAAACAAAAGTATTTTTCTTGTCAAAATTAGGTTCTTCAGGCTAATTGGCTCTCATTTTAGGCACCTGAAGATAAAGTATCTCAAAAGACTAAGAAACAGGCAACTCTCACTGAAGTCCCATGGAAAGAGTTACTGTGGATTCAGGCCCCCAGGATGCTATTCTGGTACTGCCTGGTGCTTCACCTCTCTCCCCTCACACCAGCATGCAGATAGCTCAGTAGCAAGGCATCTCAGACACTTCTTCCCTCCAGACTGTACACAGCACTTCCAGTAACTGAGGTACAGTGTCAAATCATTCATCCTGCTGGAACATACCATCTGTGTTCATTTTACAAAAGTGGAAAGGTACAGCAAAGTCCAAACCTCCTTGTCCAGCTAGATACAGGTCTGAGACTCTCCTAAAAAGTGAAGGGACAGGTTGTACTGGTACATTACCTCCATTTTTCTGTAAAGAGAGGTAAATGCTAATATATATGCTGTTAAATTTCTATAGGAAGTGCACCTCGTATCATCTTTGCCTCACTTCTGTGCAGCTAAAACAGAGAAGAGAGAAACCAGAACCATGATGAAGAGCTACAGAAGACAGCAAATACATGTGTATTCTTCCAAGATGATGCTGTCTTTTCAGAGCCAAACACTCAGGTTACTGCATTTACCAGGCTTTTGCTTCAAGACACACATGACAGTACCTACCAGAACATCCTGTTCTTCTTTGCCACCATGCCTTTTGAAATCCAGCTGTAGCCATTGAGACCTCCAGCACTGCCCTCACAACCAACACAGGCTGTTCAGCTGCCTTTAGAGATTAAACTTCTGGTTTTTAGAAGACATTCCTAGCACTATTCACTCTGAATGTCATTGTCATGAAGCTGCTAATAGATAAAAACTACTGAGGACACATCCCATTGCTCGTTTTCCCTCCCTTCACTCCAAAGCAAATAAGGCTTCAGAGCTCAAGGTTTCAGAGACCTCTGCAAAAGCAGTCAAGCCCAACTTCCAAAAAAGCCCTGTATGGTATTCTATAGGCACAGTCAGAGCTGCATTCTCCAGACATGGGGCTCCATTTTCCAGTACATAATTTTCACTTTGTGCTAAACAGACAACAGAGTGTGAAAACTCCCTTTTTTTGGGTTTGACATTATCGTACAGACAAGAAAACCATCTGCAGTTTTCAGCTTCAGCTTTTGCTCCAAGTTGGGATCTTTATGTTACTTTTCCCAATACATTTTGAAGCCCAGACACTAATTCAGTCTGTTCCCTACTTCAGCTGCTCTTCTACTCTGTGAGCAATGTCTGCTTTTCAGCACAATGCAGGAGTCACCAAACAGCACCTGAGTAGGGTGCTTATAATCCCAGGATGCCATACCACAAAGCAGGCTCCTTGAATCCAGTACTTACCCAAAAAAAGGGCACGAGCTTGTCAGCTGCACAGCCCAGCAGTGCTCACTCACGAAGGGTAGAACAGCAGCGGCGGAACTTCACTGCAGTCCAATATCACAACCTGTCATATCTTCCTTGCTAAAGGAATCTGGGTAAAGAAAACACAAGCTGTATTTAAGCAATAATACCTTCTGGGAATGTCTAGCAACAAGTGCTCTGAGGAACAAGCTGTGCCTCTGGCCCTTACCCTCACCACTCAACATTCTCAGGCTGACTGCGTTAAAATAGCTGACTTAAAAGTCATAATTGCTATTCTCAACAGTAAAATACTTTTTTTTTTTAATGTACCTTTCAACATGCTGCAAAGTTAAACATGGCTTGCATGTTGCCATGGATATGATTTCACGTTTATAAGACTGGTCTTTCCTGGCAGCTAAATGCCAGTATGGGAACAAATAGCAGAACAGGGTTTTGTTTGGCATTTTGCTTTGTTTAGGATAGCAGCTAACTACTTTTCTTATTAACAAGCTTTTGATTTTACTGGAGATTCTCTAGAAACAGAGTTCATCTCATTGGCATTAAAGATATCACAACCAATCCTCCAGTCTGTGTGAGCAGAGCCCTGACCTCTGTGGCACCACTCATGAGAATCAGGGTGTAGGGTCAAGCCTGAGTCTGTTTACACATCTGCCATGGCTGATATCAGACAGGATACAGTGCATGAAAACATCCTTTATCTCTGCTTGCTTCATGTCTCAACACAGAGAGCAGGTATTGAGCTAGAACTAAATTTTATTCAAAATACAAACATTATCAATTCTGACTAAAATAAGGTACTGAAATTAGGTTTTCATTTGAGCAGAGGAGCAGTTTCATTCGATAGGGTCCCAGGAAGAATGTCCAAAATGGAATTGCTAAATTTCTATCAACTTCAAATCAGCTGCATTCCTGCAGAAAGGCTAATGGAGCAAGAATAAAACCCAGACTGGCAGGAAGGTGTTACCAGTTCATAATGCCAAATCTAAATGCCTCCTTCGCATCCACACCTAATGACTCGTGCCCACATCTGTTTCACAGGCTGTGTGTGTACCTCTAGTCCTGCTGGATGACTTATGTGGCAAAAGTCACCTGGTCTTCAGTGGGACAACATTTCACCCCTCAGTGAATGAACCCAGGGATAACTTTTGCCCGCTGGTTGGTTACATGTAGGATTGTATCAACTCAGCTGCTATCACTAGGAAATCTGAAAATAAGATGTAATTGCACAGACAAAGCTGGGGATTACACCATGTCCCTCCAAATCCCACAGCCAGAGTGTTTACCTCTGTCTGTGTGTTGCTGTCAGGAAAAATTCTGTACCTATTTCAGTGTCAGAGATACATATCAGTCAAACCTGACTTCAGCTTTTGAAGTGGGTGGAGAGCAACACCGCCCCTCTCCTGTGCTGGAGCCTGCAACTAAACTGCATTTTACTCACAAACATATCTGTAGTTCTGCTGTGTTCTGACTTTTTAAAAAAAAAATCTCATTGGACAGACACCACCAGCAAGTTTCTCCACTCTGTGGAGTGTCTTCACAGCCCTCCCACATAGTGAAAATGACTCAGACTAAACTACTAAATTTAGGGCATTGGTATTCTATGTGTTACGCTGGTGTTCATACAAGTAATGCCTTAAACAGTAAATTTCTGAATTAAGCATTCAGGCATCTTTTCTGTGCTGCATTTGCCACTGAAACAGAAAGGCAACGAAGGTGGGCTGAGGAGGAGGTTATTTGGATCATGATTTGGCTTGTGTTTTGGCTAGAGCTATATGGGAATTTGAATGAGGTTTGCATGCACTTTTAGAATTATCTAATGACCCAATATCATTATGTTTGATCTCAAGTGATGCGATCGTGCAAGATTAGCTGCCCTTGGGAGATTCCCCTCATCTCAGGCAAGAGACAGCAGGCTTTGACTCACAACTGGGGAGGATTTCTCTGGGGATGAATAGACCAATTCCCACTCCTCATCATCCAACTCACCCATCTTTGTGATGTTCCCGTCCTGGAAGGATGGTTCATGAAGCAGCTGCTGAGCTGCTGGTTGCAAATCCATGTAGTCAACTAGATCGGTACTTCTGTAACTCAATATAAAACACAGAGAACTATTGAAAGTTCTATTGAAAGCAGACCCTGCTTCATGAGCAACAATCATCCGTGTAGCAAGGACAAGGTAGTCTGGAAGAAACCCGTGATGGCCATGAAGTTCTGTGGCTATCACCAGCAAGTCAGGGCTTTGCAGAGAGATTGGCCATGTGGTCACTACCCAGAAAAAGGGACAGCAAGTCCCCGACCCTACAAGGAGCAGAAGAAGCAATGAGAGTGATGGGATGGGAAGAGGAAGGAGAGAAAGAGGAGTGCTAATGAACCTTGTCATCTGAGGCATTCTTTTTTCTTTTTGCTTAAAATCACCAACAAATCAGTGTGAGCCTGAAGTCAGGCCAGAACCTGGCCCAGAGACCACACTGTCCTTTAGTCTGACCACAACACCTGCTGAAGCCAGTGAGAGTTTATGTGGGTATCTCAGGCAAGGACATAGAAGCAATGACTCATCTATTAATGAACTTTGGTTCTTTATCTGGTTGCCAGGTGCCTCCAGAAAGGCACAGCTTTCCTAAATATTTGTGGGTTTTGAAACTGCTGAATAATTTTTACAAATACAGTTCATGATCTGTTATCCAATCAAAACCATGCAATTGCTAGGAGCCATGTGAGCTGTTTACACTGCACATTTCTATCACATGCCCTACCTTTGTTCCTCATCATTGGAGCACAACTCTTCAATAAAAATGATGCTCATGCAAAAACATTTTAACACTTTCACATAATCTGTTGTGTCTTCCAGGAGCGCTTATACCATCTGATGCACAGTATTTCAACCTGGGAAGCTGGGCATCCTTCTCTAAAGTTCTAGAGAGCAGGTAAAGAATAACTGTTTTCAGTAAAACCCACAACTTTTTCTTGTATGACCATCTGCCTGAAGGAAAATTTCCACAGTACAATGTCTATTCTTGTGCTGACCCCACCCAAGAAGCAGTGATCTTAAAAGACCCCAAAGTGCCCACTTAAGAGAATCTAAAAAACCCAAGCCTAGAAGTGACCTGGAGGGTCGCTTATTTAATCTTTTTCCTTGCTCTAAAACAGAATAAATAACTTAGACCATCTCTGAAAAACATTCATCACACTTTTGCTTGCAAAAATTCAGACAAGAATATGCCACCTTCTCCCCAAGTAATCCATGCCATGATTTTACTGCTTGTGCAATTAAAGAATGTTTTCCTAACACTTTGGCTGTGTTTCTTCACTTTATCACCTCGTATTTGTCCAAGCAGGCAATTTTGACTGGGTCAAGTTACCCCATTTTATCCCCCAGATTTTGACTGATAGAAGAGTTAGAGAATATAATGAAGGAAAGATGGTTGAAAGCCAAGATCAAGAGATACACCAAGATCAGAATATCTATATGATATCTACTGCATACTAGTTGCCCAATAAACTGAGAAATTACTTTAGTTAAATATTAATTACTCTTGGAAATTACATTTTAACATCATTTTACAATTTAGGTCCGTACAAACTGTCTGACAAATCTGTCCCACTATCTGTCCAGGAATCCAAATCTCTTTCTTGAGTGGATTCCCAACTTCATTAACACCTCCTTCTTTAGAATACTTAAAGGCGACTTGTGAAAAAGATAGGAACAAACTTTTTAGCAAAGCCTGTAGGATAGGATAAGGTGTGATGCTTTTAAACTAAAAGAAATCAGAATTAGACTGCATGTAAGGAAATAATTTTTTACAGTGAAGGTGGTGGAACAATGATACGGGTTGCCCAGAGAGGTGGTAGATGCTCCATCCCTGGAAACATTCAGGGTCAGGCTGGACTGGGCTCTGAGCAACCTGGTTTAGTTGTAGATGTCCCTGTTCACTGCAGGGGGCTTGGACTAGATGGCTTTTAAAGCTGCCTTTCAACCCAAAGCATTCTGTGATGCTGTGAACAAGTAAATCTTCCTTGGTAAAACTCAGTTAAAATATCTCCCTAATAACTTCTACCTTGTGAAAGAGGGTTGCCTCAATATATCCTACCATGGTGATACCTTAAGGGGGGTTTTGCCATGTTGCCTTTCCAAGTAATATCCACATAAAGTGTCCCTTTGCCACTAGCAAGTGCTTCCAAGAGTTGCTCAAAAGCATCTTTCCACTTGTCCACTAGGCAGGTGGCTTAAATGACACCCACCTGTCAAAGAGGCTCTGCTCTTCCTCTTTCCATCCTCACCCAGACAAGTCTGTCCTTCATTACTCCACAGCTTCAGGACGAGCATGGATAACACTTCTCCATTTCTCCAAGCTTGTCTGTACAGAATGAGCTGTGTGAATGCTCCAGTCCTGCGACTGATCCCAACAAATTTCTAACATATCTATGAAATATTTAATTTGACTCTATTGCTACAATGTCTGGTCCTTTTCCCCATATTTGTACTCATGTCGCTTTCTCAACCTTCCAAAGATGCTGCTGTAATATTCACTATTTTAAACCTTTGCACTGACCTCTTTCAAACTGAGCATAAAGTCCTTTTCTCACTAGGCTGGTGAAGGCTGCACTGTGATAGAGCCCTATTTCTTCATCACCTAAGAGAAATTCACATCCCTGCCTTTGAAGTATGACATTAGTAAGTACCAAATATGTTATTTCCACACTTCTGATTGAAAAATTAAGTGGTTTGGTATTCCTGAATAGAAACACTTAATTTCTGTGAGCTGAACCAAAGTAAAATATTTTGATCTGACCCAGTTTGCCTTCAGTTTGTCTCATCTGTCTAAAGTGAGCCTCTCTGTCCAAGCTTTTTCCCATGATCCAGCACTACAGTAGGTAAGAGGAGAAATTGCAACACACCCCTGGTTAGATAATGCAGAGATGGGAGTGGCTGTAAGAAATAATCAGGATACAATGCTTCCTGTCCCAAAAATACCACAGCAGTTCACACAAATGGCTCAGATTCAATATTAAGTAACACACAGCAACCCAGCTCAACAAACTGTTTTGAAATGGATAAAACTGACTCAAAGCAAAGTATTTCAGTAGTACCCTCCTGGCAAGTCTTCCTAAAATCTCAATCTCACAGAATTTCTGCATAAAAGTCACTTGAACACCAAGTATTTTTTAACATAATATAATTAGCAACTGTAGAAATAGATCAGTCATCATGACTTGCTGCACAGGAAGATCAGAATACTGATTCATACATACTTTATATACATTGAATTGCTTCAGAAACCCAGTATTTTTACATCTTCTTCATACCATCACAGTTCAAATGGAGGTCTTTGCTCTGCAATGGTTTGCACATGATGAGAAGTGATGTTAATCATGAGAACCACCAGAAAATTCTTTTGAGCCAATTAGATGGCATCAGTCACAATGATATTAGTCATCCACTCCTCACTCTGAGGAGAAGGAACCAAAAATTGTCATTCATCTACTCCTGAAGCTGCAGAAGACATGAGGGAAGTGCACTATTTCCCATTCTTTTTGCAATCATTGTTACACAAAGTGACACGAGCTGCTATTTTCTGTTCCTTTTCTAGGAGAATGGTGGTTACTCTCTGTGCAGGTTAGGAGAGAGACTTGGATCTCATTTAACTGTTTCATACTTCCTTTGCTCTTTCTTGATCACTACATGACCCAAAAGGAAAATGGGACCAGAAAATGTTGCCATTAGGCCGATGCCATTAGCCTCAGCAGCTTGTAAGGGCAAGATGAGTGAGATGTGACTGCTGGTTAACAGTGACAGAGGAGAGAGTTGTCATACTTGGTGCCATGACTCAGCACACCAGTGAGAATAACTAGAAAAGCATGAGAAGTGGTAACCAACATGTGGAAAAGTGGACACTCAAGGAAAATCTTTCAAAAAGCTCACAATGAGCATCAGAAGATGCAAATTGCAAAGTGTTCAAAGTAGAGGACTGTAAGAACAGATCGAGGAATGACACTGCAGCAGAGAGAGACTGCCCTGGAGCAGCCAGCCTAACAAACCACACTACTGAGATCACTAAGTATCACTGATCTCAGTGAGCTGTGAGGTGGGGGAAGTCCAGGAGGAACTGATAAGGGGAGAGGCTGATCAAACTCTATTTTTCCACAGCAGGATGGTTTGGGTATCCCAGAGATGCTGGTGTAGCAATCTATCGCTTTCACCCCAGCCAAGAGAACAGACTACCCAGCAGCCCTGGTGAGCACAGAGATCTGTGTATGGGATGTTGTTCCAATGTGAGAGGCACCTTTGAAGCACTCAACTGTGGTATTCACATGCCTTCTGAACAGAGAGAAGCTGTGAGAGAAGCAGAGAAAAGAATGATTAAAACAATTATTATCTCATTTGCTACTCCTGTGTTCAGAAGGCATGTGAATACCACACTCAACAGCTACAAACAACTCCAAGGCACAGGCTGGCCAGCTCTGGAAATATCAACACTTGAAATCCCTCCAACACTTTGTTTTTGGAAGACAGAGGCAGTGAAAAAGAGGATGAAAAATCAGAAATATCAACCCTTCTAACAGAGGGGTAAATAGAGCAAGTTAATACTAAAGTAATATTCTTGAGAAGGCAAAGAAAGATCTGTGGCTGAGAAGTCAAGATGCATCTAGCACATCTGGGGAAACTCTGCCAAGGTTTTCATGGCATCTAGTCCTCTGGGATGACATTTTGGCTCACTGCCCAGTTAGAATTTGCCCTTGAAGGATTTTATGGGCTAGATCCTCACCTAGAGAAAATTGTGCTGCTGCTTTTTAGAAGCTGGACGAGCAGGAGAGAGTTATGTCCCAGATCTCAGACTGGTAGGATGGTTTTCTCAGGGGAGCTACATCTGACAGCTTCACAATGAAAGAAAATGTTATCCATGGCATGAAACTCCAATTCAACAAACAAATTGGAAAATTACTTTACAAGAAGTCATGTTAACAGATGGTACCAAATCCAAGTAGCAAAGATCACAATTACTTCTTCACATTTTGCATTTTGTCTTTTGTGTGTGTGTGTGTGTGTGCTTCAGCCCCAGAGAAACAGATTATGACTCAAGAAGTGGAGCTAATTAAATTATAACATACTAGAAGGAGATTTGGCTGTGTTGATATATCTGGAGTGAGGTACAGCAAGATATTCCTCTGTAAACACTGAGATACCTCCCCAGGATTTCTCATAATTATGAAATAATTCAGAGTATCTTCTTCTTCAGAAGAAGTCTTAGATTTGAATGCCAACCCTAAAACTAAAACATACCTGAACTAGATAAATCAGATAATCTAAGACCATATTTAATAAATCAGATAATAAGACCATATTTACATACCTGTAAAAAGAAGATGAAGATGAACAACTGGAATAGTAACTGCTGCCTGCAGTTGTTGCTAGGCCTCAGCTTTCTACATCCAGCTGCACTGAATCCAGATTCATTCTCTTCAAGAGATGGTATCTAAGACTCTCCGATTTGTTTTTCACACTGTCCAGTAGAAATAACTTCATCACAGTGAAATAAGGCTCACAGCAGCCCTCTTCTTCTCAGAGAAAGAGAGATCTTCCAGAAACTGTAAAGGTACAACTTATAATTATATTCCAGTGTGCAGTTATAACAAATGCCTTTTTTGCCCCACGCTAACAACATAAAAGGTCTCTAACTCTGAGGTGGCCCTGCTTTGCTTGGTGAATGAATGAAGCAACATTGACCTTAGAGGTGTTGATGTATCCCAGAGGGAGGGGAACAAACCTTCAGAGCATCTTCACACCAGTACACATCTCTCTTCTCCAGCCTCTACCTGATGTAGACAGACTGCTGGCAAAAGAAAACTAGAAGAGATGTTTCTAATAGATGAACTCCACTAGCACCTTCTATAGGCTTTAAGATATGTCCAATCTAGTTGTCTATGCACATCCTGCCAGAAGTTACAACTGCCCCTGCAGAGTCAGCAAAGGGAACGTCTCTCTGTGTCTCACCATACAAGAGATGCTCACTGAAGACATGGCAGAGGAGCTCTGGGCATATGCAGTATGCTCAAGCATCTGCAGCAAATCGATCTGTCTGTGGGCAACAGATGCCTTTGCAGACATGCAGCACTCCAGGCTCTTTTTATGCTCATTTGCATTTAAATACTGCTAATTGGAACTCAAACTTATACTTCCCTGGCTCTGAGCAAGAAAGGCATACCCCTTTAGCCTAGAGTTAATGCCTAGGCTTAGCTAATTGTCCTGGCTCTCTCCACCACCAACAGAGCCAGGCAGTGCTGCTGTATGACTCACTCTCCTAAATCCATAATGAATCACTCTGGCCACCTTCAGTGAAGAGGGAGACACACAAGAGTGCCCATACATGTTGCTTAGAATACAGACCTGGCCTCCAGACAGCTAAAGAAGCCTACCTGAATGGCCTTTTCTTTTGAATGTACCCAGTGGTCAAGGCAAATAAAAAAGGAACTCGGACTGTGGCTTCTTGACACAATAACCTTACAAAGATATAATGGAAGCAGTAATCCAAACACAAACACACTAGTATTAATTACAGTAACACAAGCAGCAGTTCCACATGAAACCCAAGTGTGTCACAGCCTGTGTGTAGATGTGTATCACACATCTGCTCAATATGAAGGCCACTGCCAATTCACATGCTGTGTATGTTTTCAGTCAGAAAAGAAATTAAATGATTGATACAAGGGTCTGGAAACCAGGTCATGAGATTACTTCTGCATGATCCTGGTGTCCTGCACGAAACTTCCTGTCCAGACAAACACTTGTAACCTCATCCTTTCACCACAGCTTTGATTTATATCCTTTGCTTGGCTTCTGCAGTACTTTTAAACCTTCCAGAGAGGGTCTGCTTGGGCCCAAGATGCACTTCTGGGGCAGTGGCAGTGAAGAACAAGGCTCTGCCAGTGGGAAAGCAGATGGACTCTCCTGCTGGTTTCAAAGCTTCTGCGGGGGCACACCAGGCAGGGCAGGCTGCCAGGCTTCTCTCAGCAACAGCTGCATTGCCAGAAATGACCCAAGGGATCCACTACATCATACAGAAGCACAATATTTACCTGCAAACACCTTGTGCTCCAGTGTTCCCAGAGCAGCTGCCCCTTCTGCAGCGAGGGTTCTGCCATGCAGAGGGCTTGAACAGAGGGCTGTTCAAGGCCCATTGGAACAGGCCCAGGCAGTGGATCAAGTTTGACCAGCTCTGGACCATCCAGCTGTGTGGTGTGACATATCCCTTATCTCCTGGAGAGAATGGGATTTTATGCATTTTCATTCTAAACACACAAAGCAGGTAGCCAGATGAAATACAGCAGTTAGGCTCTGAAAAAAACTTCTTGTAGGTACAAACACTGCAAGTGACATACATCACTCTTCATTTAACACTTTGCTGATCTCTGACTTGTGGATTGTTCTCCCTCTGAAAAACCCTAACTACTCTTTTCACATGGGAATTTTGACCAGAGTCATTGAGATGTCTTTGCACACAGATTTGGCACAGAGACTGCAATGGCAGTGAGATATTGATCTGGCTGGGCACAGCTTGTACCTTCCCTGTGGCTGAGGCAGAAGAGCAAATGTCTATGTCAGCTACATCTGGAAAGAAAAAGGGTTTCTGTTGGAGTCAGCACACAGCATCAGGTAGCCAGGAACTGACTGCTCCACTGGGCTCCTGAAGCTTATGACAACATTCCTCACCAACCAGCTTTTGAAAGATCAGTCACACCGAAGTGTATGTCACCAATTGAAAATACTTATTAGTCAATATAAGCTGAATGCTTTGAGAGCACTACTTACAGCACTTTGTCCTGTACAACTCCTTGTAGGATCCTACTTCCAAGCCTTATAAGCTAACCAGACTGTCTAGACCAAGTTGTGTATGTGCTGTGGATAGATACACCACAAACCAAGAGTAGCAGGAGGACAGTTTCCCCCCTGCAAGTACATCATAAATAATACAAATCAGTCTATGAACGATGGGAGAAGACTATCAAGTGTATGCAACAGTCGTGACTTACACCTACCAGAAATGTGTGCCAACACATCACATCAATTGACTTTCTTTTCACTTGGTCTGCATCTGACCCTGCCATGTTCCTTCCAGTAATAGAACAGTTTCAACCTCAAAGTTATCTTTCAAATAACATTTTTCAACTGATAACATGCTCCCACATTTAAATTAACCAAACTTTTTACTACACTTCAGTCTATTTTTTTCATACAGGTTTAATGCCAGAATAATTGGGAAAATGAAGGAGTATCTTTTTAACAAAAATATGTGTTTTAGTAATTGACAGCACGTGTCAAAGTCAACAAACATTTCAAGCAATGCAAGGTAATGCATGTTTTCATTCCCAACTATTGTTTTCTTAATTTAGCAAATAGGATTTTTGACTGTATTTAAAGAGGAAATTAGCAAAGCAACACTAAATTTTCTGTAGAAGAAAGAGTCATAAAATAAGTCAGGTTACCACAGAAACAAATTTAAGCACACTGGTGCCACAAATCAAGTAATTAGGCAGAAAGAATAATTTAATGTCTTCAAAAATTAATCATTTATGATACCATGTAATGTTTGGGACATAAATATTTATTATCTTGCATTTTCTGTACCTTCAACCCTTTCTAATAAAGGGCAACTCAGCCAAGTCCAAGTAGTGAACAGTAAGACAGTACAATGTTATATTTGCTCTCCCTTGAGAAGCAGAAATCACATTTTATATCAAATTACTCCAGCACAGGGAACACTGCAACACTGTGTACCTACAGCCATCCATGGATTACAGGATTAGACTCCTGTGTACAGCCAGCAGCAGCCTAATAAATTTAAATTAAACTGCCATAAAGTAGTCAGGGGCAGTCTTTTTAGTCTTGCCATACAGTACAGCAAGAAATGTATTATGCTACATATTTGCCTTATTACTTAGCTTTTCCTGACAAGAAGCAAGTTTACCTACACACCAGAAGCAGAGAGAGAACGTTAAGGCTTAAATCCTTATGCTCTTTCAGCTAGACATCAGAAATGGATATTCCTGATGTAATATCACAACTCACAGTGCAAAGGGTTGCTATTTTCCCTGCAGGACTCTAATCTGATAAGGAGCCAAGACTCAAGACAAATCTCAGCAAAAAAAGAAAGAAAAAATATTCTGTCTTCCTCTTTTTTTTTTTCCCCTTGCTCACAGAACATTACCAAACTGGCCTTTAATATAAGTTCAGCTCACAGAAGTAATTCTTGAAAGCCCATTGGTGGAGAGTGCATTTCCTTCTCCTTTCAGGTTGAAAAGGAAACTTTCTGTGAGTTTACTGTAATGGAGTATTTGTCTGTACCAAAAACACCCTGACCTCTCCAGCCACAAGATTAAATACCAGCAGCCCACTCTGTCACTAGTTCACTATTAGGAAATTACATGGGAGGAAAGACACAACATAAAATTCACAGGGAGAAAAATAGAAAAAAAGACATCGGTAGTGGTGGGAGTGAATGAACAAGCTTAATAATGAAGCCAGTAAAAAGGAAAATACCCTCTGGCCAATTGATAATAAAAGGTTACTTGAGGCAAAGGGTCAGATCCTGAGCAGTGCAAACTGGCCCAGCTTCTCCAACCTCAGCAAAGCGACAGTGATTTACAGCAGCTGCAAAAAGCCCCAGGAGACAGAAAAACCCAGCTACAAAAATGGAACTGGAGGCCCACATTTTGAAAAGCTTCCACTCACTTTTAGCACCAGACTGAGGTACAGAGGTGACTCTGAGGGTTTGTTTCTGCGGGGGAGCTCCTGTGAAGTAAGCAGAAGTGTGAATTTACACTGCATTTATTCTGGGTCTTAAGTAGGCTGTAAATTCACACCCAACCTATTTTACAGGGATTTCCCCAAGTAGATAAGCCCTAAATTTGCCTCCTAATCATGGAGGTATACAAAATAAATAGATACTTTCAAAACTGCAGACCCACACAGGAATCTCTCTCTTGCTTGTAGGGGCAAGGGGGTACTGAATAGTATATATTGTATTGTAGTCCTGCAAGTGCATGGTGCCCTTCTTACAACCACTGATCCCAAGGCCCCCTTCAGTCATCTCTTCAATATCTTTTTAAACCCCTGGATCTGTCCCAGCTTCACAGCAGATTTCCATACCCCAGCCCCTGGCTTCTCCTTCCCCACTGCAGTTCCACATATGAAGGTCCACATTTCTTTACCTACTCACCCCTGATCCTCAGGGGAAGCAGTAACTCCTCATCCTCATCCAGAGGTGTTGTCTCCTACCAGTTTCCTACCTCTCAACCAACCTAACCATGTTCTGATCATTCATGCCTCACTCACCCCCAGAACCACTGGATCCCTGGGTTAATGCATGTCCTTTGAAATCTCCTTCAGAGTCATAAGGTTAGCTCCATGCCAAGAAATGCCAAGAAGCTGGGCAAGATTATTCACACTTTCTTGGCTGGAAGATGCTTTTACACACAGCCAAACGGGCAGCCAGAGGCCTTTGGCAGGGGCCAAGAGAAAGGAGCTGGGATGGTCACAGCTTCACCAGGGTCCTCAGGAGGGGGATTTGGTCCTCAGCA